ACTGTATATTTGGATTCCAGGATCTTCTGGGATGCCACTATTGGTACACCAACTACAAGTAGTCCTCAACTTACGACCACAATTGAGCCCAACATTTCCGTTGCTAAGCAAGCCAGTTATTAAGTGAATTGTGCCCCGTTTTATGACCTCTTTTTTTATCACAGTTGTTAACGGAATCATATGTTGTTAAGTGAATCTGGTTTCCCCCATTGACTGTCAGAAGCCAGCTGAGAAGTTTACAAAGGGTGATCCGATGACCCCGGAACAGTGCAACTGTCTACAGTACATACCAGTTGCCCAGCTTCTGGATTTTAATCACATGACTGTAAGGATGCTGCAATGGTTGTAAATTTGAGGACCAATCATAAGTCACTTTTTTTCAGTGCCGTTCTAACACTGAATGGTTGCTAAACAAACGATTGTAAGTCAAGGACTACCTGCACCAGAGTGGAAAATGGCGCATAAAATCACCCACATTTTTACAATTCACAAATCTTAGCATTCTCTGATTGGCATAGATAGTTTTAATTTCTTTCTAGCCTCATTGGAGAATTCTAGACTCACTGGAGAAGAGCCTAATGCTGGGAAAGATGGAGGGCAAAAGAAGAAAGGGACGACAGAGAACGAGGTGGCTGGATAGAGTCACCGAAGCAGTCGGCGTGAGCTTAAATGGACTCCAGAGGATGGTAGAGGACAGGAAATCCTGGAGGAACATTGTCCATGGGGTCGTGATGGGTCAGACACGACTTTGCAACTAACGACAAAGCCTCATTAGAGTTTTAATTTCTTTCTAGCCTCAATCTAGCCACAGGAGCAGTGGTAGCACAGTGGTTAGAATGCAGTATTGCAAGCTAACTCTGCCCACTGCCAGGAGTTCAATCCTGACTGGCTCAAGGTTGACTCAGCCTTCCATTATTCTGAGGTCGGTAAAATTAGAAGATTGTTGGAGGCAACAGGCTGACTCTGCAAACTGCTTAGAGAAGGCTGTAAAGCACTGTGAAGCAGTATATAAGTCTAAGTGCTATTACTATTTCTTCTGTAGGAGAGATAGGAAGATAGGAACTTAGATTTTTTTTACACAAACAGTAGCCATTCTGATGCTCAGTTATGCCTTTCCCCACCCTTTCAAAAGTTCCAATGCATTAGCGTGAGCATTATCGTAACAATGGAAGGTTATCAGCATAGTCATCATCGCTACATGTATTCTCATTTTAATATATCTTTTTTTATGGCACGTAGGATATGTCTAAAGCAAGCACTAGCTGAGTCATCATTAGCTCACCCAACGTCAGCACAGCAGTGTTTCAAAAATGCCAAGGTAAACTCTGTATTCACCAGGAAAGAAATGACAAACTGAAGACTCTGGTGGAACGAAGAGCCGGTGAACAGACCAGTTTCTTTGAAATTCCTCTCTGGACAAGGAGAGGATTTGGGATTATCCATAAATGCTCCAGGCAGTTGTTCCACATGAAGAGGCCACAAGAGAGTGGTGTCTAGTGGGTTTAGATCTCTGAGAGATGAGGGAATTCCTTCTCCATCCAAACTGTGTTCAAAGCCATTATGGACACAGGACTCACATTCTTTTCCTGAGCATTTTTTGAAATGACTTGTTAATTGCTTTTCATATATTAGAAACCTTCAGATCAATATATATATTTAATAGCTTTGAGTGAGTCTCCTTCAATCCTTGGCAAAATAAGTTTTAAATATAGGTCAAAGGATTTAAAAATACTGTGATTTGGGGGAATAAACAACAAATAGATTAACAGATTAATAAAGTTGGAAGGGACCTTATAGGTCATCTAGTCCAACCCCCTGCCCAAGCAGGAGACCTTACACCATTTCTGAGAAATGGCAGTCTAGTCTCTTCTTGGAAGCTTCCAGTGATGAAGCTTTCACAACTTCCGAAGGCAACTTCTGTTCCATGGGTTGATTGTTCTCCTTATTTCTAGGCTGAATCTCTCCTTGTTCAGTTTCCATCCATTGTTCCTTGTCTGGCTATCGGGTGCTTTGGAAAATAGCTTGACCCCCTTCTCTCTGTGGCAGCCCGTCAAATATTGGAACACTGCTATCCTGTCTCCCCTGGTCCTTCTCTTCACTAGACTAGCCATGCCGAGTACTTGCAACCGTTCATCGTATGTTTTAGTCTCCAGTCTCCAGTAATCATCTTGGTTCATGAATGGACCGTTGAATTTTAGAAACAAACAAGTTAGGTAATTATCATTTCCTAACACACGTGATCATCTTTTGCGACCTTCTGACAAGCAGTCAATGGGGAAGCCAGATTCACTTAACAAATGCGGCAAGAAAAGTTGTAAAATGGGGTAAAACTCACTTAACAAGTTTCTCACTTAGCAACATGAATGTTGGGCTCAATTTTGGTTGTACATTGAGAACTACCTGTACTTGTGATAAAGGGGAAAGTAATTTTCTTTACACGTTTGTATTTTCTTTTCTTTGCTATAGTCTTATTTTTTCCTCCTTTTCTCTTTTCTCTTTCTCTTTCCTCTCTCTTCTCTACTTTCTATTTTTTAAATTTTTAAAAGGTTTTTAAACTTTGTATTAGTTTTTATCCTTTTAATTGTAATGCTGAATAAAAATTACTATACCAAAATCCCAAGGAAAGTTTGCATGGTTTTGCTTGTTTCACCTTTCGAGATCAGTTCAATGAACAGAGCAAAGATCAAAAAGCAAACCTTGAGAGAAGTGCTGATACTATTATTAGCAAGCACTTAGGAACTTGCAACATGTGCAACTTACAGGTAGCCCTTATGTAGGCTTACCCTAGATCAGGGGTCAGCAACCTGCTGCTCTGGAGCTGCATGCGGCTCTTTGGGCCCTCTGCTGTGGCTCCCTGTCAGGTGATCCCACCACTGGCTGGCCCCACCCCACCCCTCGCCCTCCCCTCCCAGTCACTCCTCGCCTGGCCTGAGAAGGTAAGGGCGACGGCAGGGGATGGAGAAGTGTCTGGGACAGAGACAGAGACATACAGAGAGAGGGGGAGAGAGAGAATATAGGGAGATACAGAGAGAGAGGGAGAGAGGGAGGAAGGGAGGAAGGGGGAGAGAGAGATATGTCAAAAGGATTTTGTGGTTCCCGGTGTTTTTTAACAACTGGTTCTCTGCCCTAATGACCAGCTGGGTAGGTGTGGCTAGTGGGGTGTCATGTGACTGGTAGAAGTGAGTGGCATCCAGTTGGCCCCGCCCACCCAGGTTTTGTGGCTCCCTGTGTTTTCTTTTCTGTGGGAAACGGGTCCAAATGGCTCTTTATTCTTTATTCTTTTTTCCAACAAGCTTTATTCTTTTCCAACAAGCTTTATTCTTCTCCAACAAGCTTTATTCTTTATTCCAACAAGCCGGGCTTGTTGGAATATTTAAATTTTTAAATTTTTAATCGTTAACTTTTAACTTTTAAATGTCCAAAACGGGTAGTTTTATTTTAATTAGATATGGGCCAAATTATTTAATATTTCTTAAATTGTTTTTTTAATTTTATATCTGTGTGTTTTATTATGGCTGTACACCGCCCTGAGTCCTTCTGGGAGAAGGACGGTATATAAATTAAATTAATAAATAAAATAAATAAATAAATTTGAGTGCTTAAGGTTGCAGACTCCTGCCCTAGATCAAATGTTATTGAACTGAAGCTTTCAGATGCTTTTCTGGTATTACAGGTCGTCCTCAATTTACAACAGTTCACTTAGTGACTGTTCAAACTTACCATAGCACTGAAAAAAGTGACTTGTGACCGTTTTTCACACTTAAAAACCTTGCAACACGCCCATGGTCACGTGATCAAAATTCAGATGCTTGGCAACTGTCTCATATTTATGACGGTTGCAGTGTCCCAGAGTCATGTGATCACCTTTTGCGACCCACTGACAAGCAAAGTCAATGGGGAAGCCAGATTTGCTTAACACTTGTGTTACTAACTTAACAACTGCAGTGATTCAATGAACAGCTGTGGCAAGAAAATGATTAACAACTGTTAACTTAACAACAGAAATGTTGGGCTTAATTGTGGTCGTACCTCGAGGACTACCTATATATTGTTGCTTTTCCATTTTTTTGTCCACAGCAGATTTACAGCACAGGAAATGTAGAATTCATTTCAATACTTCGTTACAAAGAAACCCACCACATCCTCTTCCACATTTGAGACAAATCACAACAACATATATGATATATCTTTTACATACTGTATTTGTCCTGTTTACCTCTTCACTGCCTCTCCAGTTATCATTCTTAAATATACCTGCAGTTGGGAACAGCTGTTTTGTATATTTAACAACAACAAAACTCTGGGATTCCAGATTTCAAAACAGTTTAACAATTTGGACCCTCTTGCCGAGTCCTCCTATAATAATATCCACATTCTTATATTTTACTACAACAAAACAAATTAACTTGTAATAAAATACTTAATAAATACGATTTATGAAATCAGCTTAAAGACATCATCTGCCAAAAGATTAATAACTATTTTATATTCGTCTCCTTTCTCCTCTGAACTTGGCATTGGCATTGCTGGCGTTCCTTAGGAGTCGAGTACATGTATTTATTCAACACAGCTTGAAAATTCCTCTTTGAAACTGCTTTCTAATCCTTAATGCATATTATTAAAAACAGCAGGCAGCAAGTTGTTTTTTTTTTAAATGTCAGCAAAAGAACTGTAATTCCCCCTAAAGCGCTACTATGCTGGAAAATATTCCTTCTACTCTGAAAAGGGTGATGAAAAGCCAGTTAGAGGATAGGCAAGATTCGGGGTTGGGTGGGGGGGAAACAACTAATGAATGTGGCAATATTCTGCAATTCCAGAATTACTGCAGAAAACGCTTTAAAAGAATTGCGCCAGCAAGTATATTAAAAAAAAAACAAAAACCTCCCAGCAATACTTGCAACAACTGATATGAGAGTGAACAGGAAATGCGTAGGAGGGGAGGAATGAGATGATTAATATCACTGCAGACATCAAAAGCAAAGAAGCATGCACATATTTACCAAATTGTTTTTTGGTCCCTGATGTTTCTGGTGAACAGATTATCCCTGCTGAGACAAAAATAAGATGAAAGGGATTTAAAACATGGAATGATGGTCTCATCTGGGTACTTTGTGGGATTTTAATCCAGGGCTCCAGACCATTCAGAAGACCATAGGAAAAACAGCTCTACTTCCAAGAAAAAAAGCATGGCATTGTTACTGTAGCCTAGAGCCCACAAGATGCCCCACATCTCTGTCTGGTTTCTCCCTTATTGGCACTCCTCAGACACAGGCAAACAGACTTCATTCTATAGGGTTCAGATCTGGAGAATCCCACACCTGAGGAGTCCCCCAGTTATACTGACCACCAGGAGGCACTGTGTCCCCCAATGAAGATGGAATTTGGGACACAGCACCTCCCGATGGTCAGTATAACTGAAAATTTTTTAAAAAGGTAAAGGTTTCCTCTGTCCCAGTCATGTCTGACTCTAGGCCAGGGATGGTGTTATCTCCCTTTCTTAGCTGAGGGAGCCAGCGTTGTCCAAATATGTTTCTGGGGTCATGTGAGCGCCATGACTATATGCCAAGGTGCATGGAATGCTGTTATCTTCCCACCAAAATGGTACCTATTCGCATTTGCATGCTTTCCAACTGCTTGGTTGACAGGAGATAACTGAAAATATCACATACAATATACCCTGTAAAAAATAAGAGAAAATTCCCTCCAACCTCCAAGAGGGTGTATGTGGAAACCGTGTAAATTCCTGCCCATGGGAGCATGACATAATATAACACCTGTATGTCTCAGCGCTGAGAATTTAAGGGAAGATGGACTCTCTATATAAGTGGTGGCGAACCTTTTACTCACCGAGTGCTGAACAGGTACGTGCTTCGTGTGCATGTGTGCTACCCATGCGGCTCCTCCCCGTGTGCTACATGCGCAACTGCACCATCTGCGCATTCGCATGGCTTTCGCATGTGCCCCCGTGTGCTGCGTGTGCAACCACATCATCTGCGCACGCATGTGGCTTTTGCACGACTCCCCCTGTGCGCTCCATGCGCAATCGCAACATCTGCACAATTTTTCCAAGCGCAATGGGTGCATGCCAATGCCATCTACGCCTGTGCGCACTGCACGCAAGTAACCATGTGCGCATGCGCAGGAGAGCTCCGAAGACCAGCTGGGTCCCCTGAATTGCACGCATGCACACCGGAGGCCCAAACACCAGCTGGGGTGCATGCACATGCGCAGCTGTAGGTGAGTTGGGCGACAGCTCGCATGCCCGGAAAGTTGGCTCTGCGTGCCACCTCGGGCACGCGTGCCATAGGTTTGCCATCATGGCTCTATATTGTTCTTACAGTGGTAGTATAACCTAGAAAATTGTGGACCATAAGCAATATTAACTGAGCCCCCTGTGACCCATTCTAAAACTTCAAATGAACAACACAGCTTTAATAATTGCCCATATCACATTACTAATGGATGGCAAAAGCATTTCCTTGGCCTACTTTAATCCTCAAACCACAACACAGTGGCTTGAAGGGGAGAGGAGATGTGTGTGCTCTGCTATGTCTTAATGCTATGTATACTTCATGTTAAAACCAGAGTTTGCACTCCTAAGTGCATAACAAGGACTGTGTTTAACTGGACCACATCCCACTTAATATTTAATTCCAAGAATCTATGATATCAGGAGATGCTACATTATCCACCAGCAGAGCCATAATTGCCTTTGCTCTATATGTTTTATAGGGATTATCTTCATTTTCTATTTGTGTTTCTTGGAGGATGGCCATTTCTATGTTACTGTCCAATAAAAGTTTGGAAACATAATGGCTCTTGGATCCCAATGGAAAGTCAAATGGGTCACTGAACAGCTAATAGGAAGACATATAAACGACCCCACAAAAAAAGTTGCCAGGCTTCGTACTACCACATCAGCAATGGACAATCCTGAATAGGATTCACACCTCACTTGGCATCTACTAGGACTCTCTGTATAAATGGGATATAGAATAGAATAGAATAGAATAGAATAGAATAGAATAGAATAGAATAGAATTCTTTATTGGCCAAGTGTGATTGGACACGCAAGGAATTTGTCTTGGTGCATATGCTCTCAGTGTACATAAAAGAAAAGATGCATTCGTCAAGAATCATAAGGTACAACACTTAACGATAGTCATAGGGAACAAATAAGTAATCAAATAATATTAGGAAACAGTCAATATAAATATTAAGGATACTAGCAACAAGGTTAGTCATGCAGTCGTAAGTGGGAGGAGATGGGTGATAGGAATGATGAGAAGATTAATAGTAATGCAGACTTAATAACTAGTTTGAGTGTTGAGGGAATTATTTGTTTAGCAGAGTGATGGCATTTGGGAAAAAATTGTTCTTGTGTCTAGTTGTTCTGCTGTGCAGTGCTCTATAGTGTCATTTTGACGGTAGGAGTTGAAACAGTTTATGTCCAGGATGTGAGGGGTCTGTAAATATTTTCACAGCCCTCTTTTTGATTCGTGCAGTATACAGGTCCTCAATGGAAGGCAGGTTGATAGTAATTGTTTTTTCTGCAGTTCTAATTATCCTCTGAAGTCTGTGTCTGTCTTGTTGGGATGCAGAACCAAACCAGACAGTTATAGATCCTCCCTTCACAGTGTGACTGTCCCACATCAAACTGTAGGTAACATTGTGACCGGTTGTAAACTGAGGACATATACCGGTCCACTATCTGATTTTTTTTTCATATAAATGATGTTGCTCTTCAATGGTTAGATGGCCTAGACACTGGCATATGAACATAGATTTTAACATTTATATTTTATTGTATTCAACTAATCTAGACAAAATGTTAATATATATTGTTAGTCCATCTATAATATGCCATATGTTAAATATAATAAATAAGGATTTATCTTTTTAGGATATTGGGTGTTCCCACCCAGAAACTCTTCATAGACTTTACAGTTTATGAGAAGTTGGAAAGCCATGTATAATAACATACTCTGGAATGCTGAGAGAGACACAGATGTGTTGGTAGCTGAGATAGTGCTTCACATATTTACTGTTTCACATTCTTGGTTCTTGATTTAGTGTATGTCACAGAGATTTGCTCCTCAAATCAGTAAAGTAAAACCAGGGGTGAAATCCAGCAAGTTCTGACAGGTTCTGGAGAACCGGTAGTGGAAATTTTGAGCAGTTCAGAGAACCGGCAAATATCACCTCTGGCTGGTCCCAGAGTGGGGTGAGAATGGAGATTTTGCAATATCCTTCCTCCAGGAGTGGGGAGGGAATGGAGATTTTGCAGTATCCTTCCCCTGGAGTGGGGTCGGAATGGAGATTTTGCAGTATGCTTCCCCTGCCACGCCCACCAAGCCACACCACGCCCACCGAAGCCACGCCCACAGAACCGGTAGTAAAAAAAATTGAATTTCACCACTGAGTAAAACCAACCTTCACTTTCTCATGGCTTCATAAGTAAACTCAGTGCTTAAACCATAAATTACACCAAACTAATCAGACTGGTTGGGTTCTAACAGCACATTGAACACAAACTAATCTTTTTAAATCAGCAAGTCCTGCCAATCCAGAGGCAATTATTTGATCTACAAACTTGTTTGGCCTCTTTATGGGATTCTAAACAATGAAGCAAGAATCTCACCGCATTACTTAGAGATGTAAATGTTCAAATAAACAAAGCAAGCAAATTGTAGTTTGGATATTTGCCCCATGTCTTTTTTTAAAAAGAAGCTGGTAAAAACCGGTTTGATGCTATATATAACAGCACAAAATAGAAACAACTACTGTAGAGGGAAAATGCAAGGATAAAAACTGAGCTGGCCAAACTGCCCATCTAAATTGTATTATATAACTTAAGTCAAATGATTTAATACGCTCCAGAAATCCGTGGACATCAGTGCAAGCACAGCAGGGCGTAGCAGAATTAATTTAAAGCCAAAGCAATTTATTTTAAACAAGGCAAGATAGGAACTAGAGGAAAAATAAAGTGACTGATAACTGAAATCAGCGTAGCAGCAATCATCTGATGAGTCATAGAATTTTCTCTCCTGACCCAACAATTGCAATCAAAAGTGCTAGCTCCCATATAATTCAATGCCCCAAATGTTTAGTTTGAAGAAACAAAAATATAGCACAAATATGTTTGGACTTCGCTAAATAGATCCTCCTGCAATGTTCCCCCACTCAACAATACACACTTTAATACAAAGAAGAGCTTTTACAAAGGTACTGCGAAGCTAGCACAGATATCGGTTGGACTGCACATCAAACTACCAGTATGTCATAATGTGATTTGTTTAATTTTAGCTTAGTATATTATATTTATATATAATTTAGCTTTAATGTGTGAACCTGCCCACCAGGGTTTGTAAACTTTGCTTTTTGTCATGAACCATAGGCCACAGGTTTTGCACAAGCAGTTTATGGTTTGTCATATGTGAGCCCAGCCAACTGTAGTTTATTTTAAAAAAAACATGGTTAAACCAATAATGAGTTATCATAATACATGAAACCAATCAAAAATGACTTGATGGCATATAAGATAATGTTTTCAAATCTTGTGAAGGAACTTAACATTATATTACATAACATACATGCTTGATTGCTTATCCAGCAATCAAAGTTCTTTTTATACTGTATATTCCTTTGTATGTAAAGGTAAACATTCCCTTCAGTCAAGCGCAACAACTGTATGTCAATTTAATTGTGTTAACACAAGTATAGGAAGTCCCCGACTTACAACCATTCATTTAGTCATCATTCAAATTTACAATGACACTGGAAAAAGAGAAGATTGGTTTTGCACTTGCAACCATCATAACATCCCAATGGTCAAGAGGTCAACATTTGGGTGCTTGGCAACTAGCATATATTTATCATGGTTGCAGCATCCCAGGGTCATGTGATTGCTTTTTGCAAGTTTCCTAGCTGTTTTCCAACAAACAAAGTCAATGGGAGAAGCTGGAATTATTTAATGATGTGATTCACTTAACAAGCATGGCAAAAAAAGGTCATAAAAACAAGCGTAACTTCTCATCAACCACCTTGCTTAGCAAGGTTGCAATGGTGGTCATAAGTCGAGGACTACCTGCATGGAAGTGGTTTTCCACTGCCTTGTTCCAAAATCTTTT